CCCCCCCCTGTGCCCAAGGCCCCATAGCGGCTGCCTGGGTCGCTATGGCGATTGTTTGCGCCACTGCAATGATTGCATCTATGTAATTGCCAAATGCTGTTGGTACCGGCCTATATCACTGTGTAGCCAGACAGTGCTGGGCCCCCGTGTGCTTTTGGGCCCTATAGCAGTCATATGTTCTGCTATTGATATGATAGATAGATAGATAGATATGAAGGAGAAACTATGAAATTATGGCTTCCACAAATGCACACCGTATACGATTACAAAGGATGTGTCTCTGACATAGACTGATTGACAGAAGCAAACCAGACGGATAATATACCAATTTCTAGCGGTAAAAAAATTTTTCAGTGTGCAGAGGAAATGTGTTTCGCTTTTCAATACCCGGCAGTTTCTTCTCTCCACATGAGAGGCCATCATCTGGAGGGAACAGCCAGCGGGAATACATAATGGGCCAGACATCGCGGCGAGCGCTACAGCCATCCCCGTCATGCACCGGAGCCCCTTTCAGGTGTCATTTTCACAACAAGAAAGCGTTATTATTCCTTTGCAGCTCGGCGGGGGCCTCACTTTTCACAGACCCGTATATATCATTACAAAGTTAAAAGTGTAGGGGCCCTGCTAAGAGGACAGCCACCCCGCCACAAAGCTTTGGATACCACAAATGTCATCGGAGGAATTTTCAATGAGGGTCTTCCGAGAAGCCATTTGAACTGGGTCAGCAAAGCCTGTGATGGTCTTGTAGGCAGTGCAGGCCTCATGGGAAGGGATATGATTGCCGTCTGCCAGTTAATACACCTTCAGGGCCCATTAACCCATATGAATGCGCCTTATTAACAACTGTTAAATTGTGTTGCCATGCAAGTTAGTGCACTTTGCTTGGCTTCTACCCTACGGTCCCCATATCCTGTGGGACCTCAATGAGGTTTAACGCACTACACAAAGTTCCTGACTTATTTGTGCCCAACGCAGCATACTTTGCTTGGCTTTTACCCTACGGTCCCCATATCCTATGGGACCTCAATGAGGTCTAACGCACAAAAAAAAGTTCCTGACTTAATTTTGGCCAATCCAGCATACTTTACCCCATATGTAGTCACATTTTTGCTTTGTGGTGCCTTAAAGGGTTTAGGTGCCTCGTGTATGGTTTTGAATACATGTTCCACATCAAGGTACTTCCGTCAAGTGTGACCCCTAACTGAAAACGATCTGAGCTCCAAACTTGGGTCATGTATAGCTATGGGTATATTGATAAGAGCCTAACCTGGAGGTAGCCTCATTCTCCTTAAAGGTGCAGCAACACACCAGAAGCTCAGACTCACTCAAGGCATCTCAAGACCACCATTGTCTCATTACCAAACGCTCATGGTAATGCACAAGCACAGATGTGATTGCAGCCTTGGTTTTTGACTGCAAAGAGATTCTCTCACAGATAGGTCACTAGGCATTGAAAAGGCATGAAGAAGCCAAGAGTAACTATTAAAAGGCTTGACGAAGCCAAGGATTTCCATTAAAGGGTATGAAGAAGACAAGACTACCCATTAAAAGGTATAAAGAAGCCTAGACTCTCCATTAAAGGCAGGAAGAAGCCAACATCCCCATTAAAAGGCATGGAGAAGTAAAGACTCCCCATTAAAGAGGCATGAAGAAGCCAAGACTCCCCATTAGGAGGCATGAAAAAGTCATGACTCCCCATTAAAATGTATGAAGAAGCCAAGGCTTTCCATTAAAAGGTATGAAGAAGCCAACACTCCCCATTTAAAGGCATGAAGAAGCCAAGACTCCCCATTTAAAGGCATGAAGAAGCCAAGACTCCCCATTTAAAGGCATGAAGAAGCCAAGACTCCCCATTTATAGGCATGAAGAAGCAAAGACTCCCCATTCAAAGGCATGAAGAAGCCAAGACTCCCCATTTAAAGGCATGAAGAAGACAAGACTCTCCATTAAGAGGCATGAAGAAGCCAAGACTCCCCATTAAGAGGCATGAAGAAGCCAAGACTCCCCATTCAAAAGGCATGAAAAAGCCAAGACTCCCCATTTAAAGGCATGAAGAAGACAAGACTCCCCATTAAAAGGCATGAAGAAGCCAAGACTCCCCATTCAAAGGCATGAAGAAGCCAAGATTTCCCATTAAAAGGCATGAAGAAGCCAAGACTCCCCATTTATAGGCATGAAAAAGCCAAGACTCCCCATTCAAAGGCATGAAGAAGCCAATACTCCCCATTAAAAGGTATGAAGAAGCCAAGACTCCCCATTAAAAGGCATGAAGGAGCCCAGCCTTTCATTTCATGTATTTTTAAGACCACATTCCAGACTTCAGCAGGACCCTTCACCTAGAAGACTGCCAACCTTTGCCTAGTGGCAGCCCTGTCATTTGTTCGTATTTTAATCCGCCATCAGCAATGTCAGGGTTTGATTGGCTCACATTGATCGTGAGGGCTTTTCATTATGTTATCTATTGGATTGTATAAAGTAGATAGGCTTTATCGATTGCTTTTCTCAAGGTGCTCAACAAGGATAAATCAAAATTATTGGTGTCAGACCGTAGTTATATAAATACTGGCGGTTTATCTTGGCCTCCTTCAACCTCTCTCGATGGCGAAAGTTTGACGACGGCTTCGGGGAGAAACTTTGTTTGTGGTTTGGAGGTTGGGGGCCCAACAAGCATTGAGCGAAATTGACTGAAGATCCTAAAAAAGCAGAATTGCGGTATACTGTTGATGTAAAAAATGGTTTTTCCACAATACCTACCTATTGGGGCCAGTGCCGGCCATACACTTGGCAACCATTATCCATTATTGCCAAACGGATGGCCACCTTAAAATGGACCCATTACATTTTTTAATATGGAGTGCATACATGTGACGTTATGTGTCAGTCTAACAATTCCAGGTATTTAATACCTCTCAAGGTGATCAATGCCTTCCTCTGCTTTCCTTTCCAGGATAGTGCCCAATCCTTGTCCAGGCATCATCCAGGATAGGGATCAATGCCTTCATCTGCTTTCCTTTCAAGGATGGTGCACCATCTATGTCCAGGCATCATCCAGGAAAGAGAACAATGCCTTCATCTGCTTTCCTTTCAAGAATGGTGCCCCATCCATGTACAGGCATCATCCAGGAAAGAGATCAATGCCTATATCTGCTTTCCTTTCCAGGATGGTGCCCCATCCATGTACAGGCATCATCCAGGAAAGAGATCAATGCCTTCATCTGCTTTCCTTTCAAGAATGGTGCCCCATCCATGTACAGGCATCATCCAGGAAAGAGATCAATGCCTATATCTGCTTTCCTTTCCAGGATGGTGCCCCATCCATGTACAGGCATCATCCAGGAAAGAGATCAATGCCTTCATCTGCTTTCCTTTCAAGAATGGTGCCCCATCCATGTACAGGCATCATCCAGGAAAGAGATCAATGCCTACATCTGCTTTCCTGTCCAGGATAGTGCCCCATCCATGTACAGGCATCATCCAGGAAAGAGATCAATGCCTTCATCTGCTTTCCTTTCAAGAATGGTGCCCCATCCATGTACAGGCATCATCCAGGAAAGAGATCAATGCCTTCCTCTGCTTTCCTTTCCAAGATGGCACCCCATCCATGTCCAGGCATCATCCAGGAAAGAGATCAATGCCTTCATCTGCTTTCCTTTCCAAGATGGCACCCCATCCATGTCCAGGCATCATCCAGGGTCACCATCTACAGTTACAATGTTGTAGTCTGATCACTGTGGGAGGAGAGACTGAGGCAATACTTCCTCCTACCTGCAGATGATGTCCTAGACATCTGACCAGAGCTAAAGAGCTTTGTTTACTGATAAAAGCCTTCCGAAAAATAATACTGTTGAAGAAATGCATTCATGCAGATTTGTAAAGTTACTGGAAGGTCCACTTTACATGGTGGTGCTGGTTCTGCCACAAAATGGTGGCCTCCCATTAGCCGTCGTCGTGTCCCTAGTACTGATTGATTGCCCCCTTCGGTATCTCCCTGATGTCATCGGCGCGACTGCTCTTATATCCCGCAATATGGCTTCTTATGCTGCCTATAAATGAGCGCGCCTTAACCGGAGCTTCAGCTGGCATTAATCCATCACCGTTCCACCGACAGCCCATCCATCATGTGACATTTTCTGGCGCAAAAGGCTTTCAAGACTTCAATCGTGATGGAAGAGCCTCCTGTGTGCGGGTCGCCATCGGCAGGATGCAGACCAAGAAAACGGCCCCGCGTGAGGAACAGCTCCTACATCCGTCATCCGTTGGGCCCCCTTCGATATGTCCCTCGCCGGCCGAACATTTATTACGCCAGTAATAGCCCGCTTCTCCTCAGATGCACCACCTCAGATAAAAATCACAAGAGCCAGCTCTTCATGAATAAAGATAGTCCTGCGGACGTTCGCCGCAGGATTGCCGAGAACCAGGCCCCCGCCGTGTGCCTGTTGTTTTCATCCCGGCGACGCTTTGTCATATCTCCCCGGTGATTAGATCTGGACACACAGTTCCCGCTTCTTAGTAACGATCCGCATGGAGATAAAAGGAAACGTTTTGAATCATGGCCTCCTTTTTTTTACAAGGTTCCTCGTCCTTTCACGGCGTTACCTTCACCATTCACCATTCACCATTTTTAGATAAAGGAAAACAACATTCGTATGTATAATACAGTCCTTCAGTTTATTCCTACGCGTTATCGCTTTTTGATTTCGCCGACGCCAGGGAAGTCTAAACTTTTAAAAGCATTTGCCGATTAAATAATTAATCTGCAATTAAAAGCAGTTACATTGTACGTAGTTCATTGGCCAAGGATAGAACCGAACTCGCATGTTCTTCTCTACCTCAAAAAAAGTGCAAGTTTCAAAGTTTTATGTCGGGAAAACAGGTCTCGGTGAGAGCACGTGTTGGAACCAGTTGTCCAATGTTTCAGCTACACAACCCAGTGGCCACCACAAGTGTTCCTCAGTGGTGTCATTGATTGGTTAGCTACACTGGCCAACACTGTTGACAAACGCTTCATCTACACAAGGACCACCACAAGTGTTCCTCAGTGGTGTCACTGGTGGGCTACACTGGCCAATACAATTGTCCAATATTTCAGCTACGAAACATAATGTCCACCACAAGTGTTCCTCAGCGGGGTCACTGATTGGTTGGCTACTAGTCAACACAGTTGTCCAATGTTTCAGCTAAACAACCCAATGACCACCACAAGTGTTTCTCAGTGGTGTCACTGAATGGTTGGCTACACTGCCCAACACAGTTGCTCAATGTTTCAGCTATGCAATGCAATGTCCACCACAGCTGTTCATCAGTGGTGTCATTGATTGGTTAGCTACACTGGCCAACACAGCTGTCCAATGTTTCAGATACACAATTCAATGACCACCACAAGTGTTCCTCAGTGGTGTCACTGATTGGTTGGCTACACTAGCAAACACTGTTGTCCAATGCTTCATCTACACAATGACCACCACAACGGTTCCTCAGTGGTATCACTGACTGGTTGGCTACAATGGCCAACAGCTCTCAAAACGACGACCTCCACCTCTTTGCCTTTAGTCTGTTTAGATATTGAGGAACAATCATAAGGGCCGTACAATTAAACACCGATGTACTTTCCCTCCTCAGGACGAGTGCTACAACTATATTAAAGTTCTGGTAATCAAGAATGACCAAACCCTCATCGCCTGCGGCACCAATTCCTTCAACCCGATATGCCGAAACTACAAGGTAAGAGGAATTGTTTGCAATATCTTGCGATTTTCTATTGACCATAGAGACCATGGAGGGGTTGTAGATACGTGCAGAGTGGATTGTTTTCGGTGTCTACCCATTTTGGAGTATAACCCTTGACCCCCAGATCCAGTGAGTCAAGGTATCTATTGCCCGGTAGGTCAATACTAGAGGGAAATGGTCAACAGAAAATTGTAAGATCTTTGAGAAATATCTTCTGGCAAGAAAGTCTGTAGAGATGAGTAGAGCAATTTCGCAGAGAAATGATGGCTTACCAAAATTTTGTGGAAATTAACAATTTTACCATGAAGACTTGCTTGAAGCCACATGATCACGATGTCACAAGGGGATCATTTTTGGGCAAAAGAAAAGGCGCAGTTCAGTTGTAAGTAGGGATGCAACGATACCGATACTTGTATCGGTGCCGATACCGATACTGAGTACTAGTACTCACCCAAATGCTCCGATGCCTAGCCCGATACTTCCTGAATCAGGAAGCCGGGCAGCATGTCATTACACTCTGCCCGGCTTCCTGATTGGACTTGTGACGAGAGAGCATGGAGCCGGCTTCCCGGCCAATCAGAAAGCCCGGGCAGCATGTAATGACGCGCTGCCCGGCTTTCTGATTGACCTGGGAAGCCAGCTGCATGCTCCCTCGTCACCTCATGACGAGGGAGCGTGGAGCCGGCTTCCTGGCCAATCAGGAAGCCGGGCGCCGGGTCATTGCACGGCGCCCGGCATCCATGATTGGCCAGCAAGCCGGCTCCGTGCTTTCTCGTCACAGTGACGAGAAGCATGGGGACGGCTTCCTTGATAATCAGGAAGCCAGGTGGTGAGTCTTACACGCTTCCTGAACAGAACTTCCGGTACTCGGCGAGTACCGGAAAAAAATACCGAATACCGGTATCGGTGCATCCCTAGTTGTAAGCTTCCGTAACCTTCAGGAGTCATGTATAGCCCATTACACCCTTTCAAATCCCCTCAATTCAGCCTTTCACATTGACTCCAATGCATGTCACCAAAATGGCAAAATTTGACCAAAATTTTTATGAAGTGATAAGTCCAATTTCACTCATCCCCCAGACACCGTTATGGGTGAAGGTCACAAATATTGGACTTGGTGAAGAACAGGAAGACATTAGGCTGTCCCGTAGGTTTTTAACGAAATGGTTTTGATGGAACGAAACTCCCGTTTTATCATTCCAGATCAAAACCTTGGAGCAGGAAGGCGAAGAGTTTAACGGCCAAGCGCGGTGCCCCTTTGACGCCAAGCAAACCAACGTGGCCCTCTTTGCAGGTAAGACGGCAAACGTTTTTTTTAAAAGTGGACCTGTCATCAGATATCGCAGTTGCCCCCCAGACATCTGGTTTTCTCTCCGGAAGGACGGAGCCATCTTTGTTCAGGCATCACCCAGGGTCGGCATGTACTTCCTGGACTGATACGCCGGCGTAGGGAGGACGTAATCATGTAGATCCCGATGCCTGCGCAGTTCTTGGCTGTGTTCAAGAATGACTGACGCAGAGCAGCCTCTCTCCTTGTGAATTCACAGGGGGAAGGGGAGACTGGGAGACTGAGGAAATGCTTCCTCCTGCCTACAGCAGACTGATCACTGGGGGGGAGGAGACTGAGGAAATGCTTCCTCCTGCCTGCAGCAGACTGATCACTGGGGGGGAGGAGACTGAGGAAATGCTTCCTCCTGCCTGCAGCAGACTGATCACTGGGGGAGGGGAGACTGGGGAAATGCTTCCTCCTGCCTGCAGCAGACTGATGCTTCATAGAAACCTCGGCAAAGTCACTGGACCGGAGCTCGGCCTTTAATAATAATGCTGCTGCGATATAAAAATACTTTGTCAGACCCGTGAAGGGGGCGAAAGGTCCTCTTTAAACAAGCAGCGCTCAGCGTGCCACCGTGACCCTACCGCGCATCTCCCCAACCTGCAGAATCTGCTGATAATTGTCCTTTA